AATATCTTCCCCTACAACCATTCAGCAAAGTCTTATCAGACTTGTACAAAGAGTCGTTGTTAAACTGTTACCACTGATTTTTGTTTGTTGCTTCATAGAGCTCGCTCAGGTGATCGCGGGACAAACAGACGCTTAAAATAAAAGCCAGCAGATCTGGTGGTCCAAGGTCGCCGGTATGCTAATAACCTACCGGATGTTCTGTCCTTAAGCGACTCAGCTGTTTCGTGATGTTTGTAATGTTATCTAAGATACTTGGCGGTTTTCCGTCGCTGTAACGCCCCGCAGATTGCAAAATTTAAAATGAATTTTGCTTCCGCGTATCACGGAGATGTGGAGCGTACGTGCCTGGTTTTATGGGGCCAGTCTAATATTAAACTTGGAACGAAAGCAAATGTTATCAGGCGCTCGGACGATTTCAGGAAGCATTGCATTTTCTCTGTGCCTTAGAATGAATGGAATCGGCGTTTAGGAACAAGATTTATCTCGAAGTACCTGCATATCCCATGCTTTGAAAAAATGGTCCTTTGTGTTGGGCGCTAAGAATTTCTCAAGTATTTTACAGGTTATCATATCAGCCTGGTTTTCCGTTGTTATTAAGGAGAGGCTGTATTTTTTGATCTGTATGTTGCTTTAAATGTCTTCAGATGTACCACACAGAGAAATCACAACTTATTCGTTTTGGGGTACACGTGCTTTTTCTAAACGATTAGATGTTTTCGAACGCTCCATTTGTGTTGTGACGTCTGAACAGCCTTGATATAATTCTGGCTTACTTCCTGCCGTGCACAAAGGATGTCCATTTGTACTATTGATCGTTTCTCTCCGTCTTCGGGGTAGCTTTCTTTCGTTTACTTTGAATTATCTGTTTTATACTTGGAAATATATTCAGTACAACTTACTTAATGTATCTTATATGCGTCATGTTTGTGTTTGATTAAATATATTTATTTTGTACAGTCTATACACAAACGTTTGAAGTTTATTGGTGTTGTAAAAATTATATAATATTAAAACACAGATTCTCTTCACTAGCCGTCAGACGCACGTTACTCTACACAACACCTCTTGATAAATATAACGTCTGACTACAATAAGCAACTTACCATGAAAATGGAAAGCTACAAACAGAACTACGGATCATTATAATATATTGCATTAAATATCTAATAGTTTGTGATTAGACGGGGAAAAACACGAATAATTAAATTTTAATTCACAATATGACGCAATTATATCAACTTATGAATTACTTAATGTAGTTTAATTCATTGGACATGACATCTGTACGAAATATTTACACTTGCTTTATGGAGTAGAGTCCATTTTCGCAAGGTAAATAGTCACTCAGGCAGTCATGAAATGCACATAGTATTAAGTACTTCCGTTCAGCTGTTTTTCGTATTTTGTCATGCTATTTCCACGCCGGTCCTTGCAATCAGGTGCAATAATAGACCTTGACAATCCGAAAGATAAGTCTATTCAGTGTCGAAGTGAATTTGTTGTGTTTTGTGTACGTACGGATATCAAACACGCAATTCTCAACACCCAGACAAAGGAGAACGCCCTCATGTCAATGGGGTATTGGGTGTTGATAGTTATCGCATTACGTACGGCATTTGTTCGGGAGTGTGTTCCATTGGACTTTTAATACTCCTCATTGTTTGATTACGTTTTCAGCTGTTCCACATTTTCGTACGATTCTCATAATAAACAGCGATTATTTCCTTAAACAGCGTTAACCAGTCGATCTTCGTAATGGTGAAGTGTAGTGTTTTCTTCGCGGTACGGACTGAATGTGTGAATATTATGTACGTAGCGCGTGTCTCATAATAAACAGCGATTATTTCCTTAAACAGCGTTAACCAGTCGATCTTCGTAATGGTGAAGTGTAGTGTTTTCTTCGCGGTACGGACTGAATGTGTGAATATTATGTACGTAGCGCGTGTCTCATTATAAACAGCGATTATTTCCTTAAACAGCGTTAACCAGTCGATCTTTGTAATGGTGAAGTGTTGTGTTTTCTTTTCGGTACGGACTGCATGATTAAAAGTTACTTGGAGGTACTTTATAATGGAGACGAGAGACAAGTTTTGTTTGGGGATAGGATTGACTCTTTGGATGGTATTTGGATGAGCCATAACTTGCAGAGGAATGCAACCTGATGGTGTGCAGAATCTGCAATAATGGCGCAGTGATCGACTTTGTGAAACCGTCTGTTGTTGTTGTTCGATTCATTTCATCCTTTGTTTAAAGGGTTAATGCAGGTCTTCGTCACAGACGCAGCCAAGTTCAGCAACAGGTGTGCGCCCTTGATTACATTCCAGTGTTTCTGCTATAAAATGTGAAAAGCATTCTTCACTTGTAACGTCATTTGTCTTTTGTTTATTTTAGCAGATTGTCAGCTGACAATGTTTGTTTTAATTCGTCAGTGTAATTAGATAGATGGCGCAAGGATTTTTGTTTTTGATTAACATCTGGAGGCTAAAGGACACGATGGTAAAATGTTTATAGAGACTAATCACACATTGACATCTAAATATCGATATACAGAAGTTTATTAAAATCCATGACATGAAGATTTTTGAGCGTTTGTTAATTTGATATGCAGTAGCCCATGCTGAAAGGTATTAATCATTGTTACAAGAATCATGTTCTAATTACGTTGCATCTGAACAGTGTAAAGCCTTTCCTATCTAGATTTGAACATCACCTTCACGTCATACACATTGTTAACGAGACATGGTGCCACTATTGTTACAGGAAATTACAAGAAACCTAGCAACTTTAGACCTATTACATCTACCGTGGAAGAAATTCTATTACAACAATTTACGTCAAGTCATCTGCACACAATTTTCATGTTTGCGGTTCAGTAAACTATAAGCACATTATTAAAGAAACTAGATAATATACGCCCTCCCTATAGGCAACACATCGAACGCGAGTATATTGTGGGTTGCCGCGCCACGCAGGCGGAAGTAGGCTTTCTGTATTCTGCTATAAGAAGTTTTGTATGGTCTCTTCACATAAAACGGATTGCGAGCAAGTGTTGTCAAGTCCGTAGGCTAATTGAGAAGCTAACGTTGACATCCAGACCCTTGCAACAGATTGCAGAAAGACAAACTCGTGTATCGCTAACTTTCTGTAAGAGCAACCCAGGGAGGTAAGATATTTGCCCCCAAAACAAAGGATTCACAAAATGTGCGAGACATTACGTCCTGTATCAGAGTAGAAATCTTGGGTTGATTAGAAGACATCCGTAGCTCGTTGGGTCTAGTCTTTTTCGTTTTATATTCTCATCAGTCTAATTTCTAAAGGCTGCTGAAGCAACTGGTGAATGTATTTCTTACTTCGTCCGAGCTGTATTCGCGACGTAACTGTGTTGTCCGGGGTTACATTGTTCTAGCAAGTGACGTAGAATCCAGTATTGTTGAACTGCAACCCGGAGATGTGTTTAAGGAGCATAACCTTGAGGTTAAGAATGCGTGGAGGTATACCTCCACTCCCCCGTACATCTTCGTGGTGCCAGGGACAATTTGCCTTTTCGCGTAGTTTTTATAAGCCGCGTGTAACTAACTGTCTGAGGTGGACCAGAGCAAGTTCCTTTCGCAGATAAGAACATTGCCCGCCGCGAGGTCATAGGACTGTACGCAGGTCTAAGTGATAACTGTGTGTCATTGGCTTCAACAATAATTAATGAGCTTTTTATATGCACGAGTTTCGCGTGATTCTCACTGTAAACAGCGATTATTTCCTTAAACAGCGTTAACCAGTCGATCTTTGTAATGGTGAAGCGTGGTGTTTTCTTCGCGGTACGGACCGAATTCTTAAATGCTATTTAGACGCCTACGCACTGTATAGCAAATGCTGAGATGGTTCCCAAGTTCCAAGTTGCCACTGCAAGCTTCTCATGCAGCCCTCCCGATTTAAATTAATCAAAATTTACCACCCCTTAACGCCGTCAAAATTTACCCCCCTCCCCTCAGTAGGAACTTCTAAATTATATATTAAACTTCCAAATTAATAGCCTCAGCTTTCGCTAATACAAAGTTCAAAATTCCGTCTTTTATGCCAATCATCACACTAACGCCTTCACTCTTACTTTATCCTTAACAGAAGGACGAGCGGGCATTGCCTGGGGACCTTCTAGCTATAAGATGCTCTTTCTCCCCCCCAGATATCGAAGTGTCTCTCACTTCTCCCCCACCAATTTCCTCTTTCTCTCTCTCTTCAAGGGGCTAAGGGGCCCTCAGCCGGAGTTCGTCTTTCAGAATGAGAGACTGTGGTCGAAATTCGCGTTAAATGTCCGGTCACAACTCACAGTGACCCACAGTCGGTTTAACAAATAAGCCTGTGTCACGCAGTTAATACCATCCGACCCAGCAGCTTTTGATTGCTCTGGGTATTTGGGCAGAAATTTCGGGACACAGACCGAACAGCCAGGAACAGGTGACTGTAGGCCCCTGCATTATAAATGAGCTGTCAAACGCCTCAGCGTACCGAACAACGCTGAAAGTTGTTCCCACAGTAACACACACATTGAAGCTATCGCCTATAAAATCGAATCGAGGCACTGCGATAACACAATGGCCGAATAAGGGCCCGCGACATTTACACACTAATATCGTGTAATATCGCATTACGAGAGTTCAGTAATCCCTCTGAATAAACAGACCTTCATTTTTCTTGTAAACCCCAAACACTGCCAGCCTTACCCTGTATTGGCGGTCGGTTTATCCCAAAGCTCTAATTGAGCAATCTTCCCTGGTCTGGCCCTTGTCATAACTCTGTTTCAACAACTTCCTAACACTCCTCACTTGTGCCCTGAAAATGGAGGCATTATGTCCCTCCGAAACATTGGTCATCACCGACGAGTCGAAATGGTGTCATAACTCAGAAGATCATCGGAGGCAATTGATGATTCCACTTTGTATATGACCAATGTTCTTCTGTTCTTTATAAGGTGCCTATGTTCATAAGGAACAATGGGAAAAAAATTTAGAAGCTTTTCATTTTTAAAAAATAAACTTTTATTCATCGCCCTGATGATGGAGGCAGTATGACCTCCGAAACGTTGGTTAACATCGACCAGACTACACAGCGCAAGAACCCAGAAGACAGAAATCTTCATACTCACGGCTGTGAGAACCTCAAATCTTACAAACTTTTTTAAAGTTCCAGAACTGTGAAACAATGCATTCTAAAGTTTGAGTGTATTCTGAATTAACGTATCTTTATTCGAAATCTCTTATTCTCCTCCAGTTTTTGTATTCGTATGTTGCGAGAATGTCGTAAAAGATCACGCTGTTGCATGCCGTCAGAAAAGAAGCGTGTTGTGTCATCTGTGACGTTTGTCTCAGTTTCTGTGTGCTTAGGAGCACTGCTTGTCAGCTGCCAGTATTTGAACAATGAATCCTTTCATTTGCCCTGATAAGTGCTTGAAATGACTTGTACTTTCCAGGTGGAGTGCCGATACTCACGGTGGTGGCCGCAGCGTATAGGTGACAAGACCAAGACATGGATGGTGGAAAGCAGCGCGAGAAACCCGAACACCCACGTGCCTCAGCCAACACCTTCTCAGCACTTACGTTCTGGTACAAATTTGTTAGAGAAATTGATAAATTGCTGTAATGTTTCAGCCGAGTGCCCTCTTTCATAAAATGGCTTGTCAAAAGTTGACACATAAGGGCGAAGGTTGCCCTGGGTCTTGAAACATTCATAACGATCCATCAGCTTGAAGTTTGTGGCTGGTTGAGTACATGTCGATCGAGAGGTTTTGCTTGTGCACTAATAAAATATGAAGTTGGAACTTGATTATTAATTGAATGCCTGTTACAGGTGGATTCTGGACACATTTTGGAAGGGCTACAAGCGTGACTTGGAAACATCGGACATCTGTGCGCCTCTAAAAGAACATAAATCAGATTACCTTGGAAATAAATTTGAAAAGTGAGTGTTACAGCTTCTTATCGATTTAAAACTCTCTCAAAGATGGCAATTGCTGCTTAAGGAAGTATACTGTAGAATTACCAGGGGTTGCTTGCAACATTTTACTCAGTCATTGAAATATTTTGTGTTTTATACAATAATTTCTTTAATTTTGGCGTAACGGTCGTAGATAATACTACAAACTTTTAGGAATCAGCGCTGTTTCTTGGTTTTCAGTGTACTTTAGGTAGAAATTCTGCATTTCAATCCACTGGCGTAACGGTCATAGATCATACTACAAACTTTAACGGAATCAGTGCTCTTTCTTGGTTTTCAGTGTACGTTAGGTAGAAATTCTGCATTTCAATCCAGAATGGTTGTATAGGTTTGTTTTAGTGATGGTCATTTGATCTAGAATTAAATTAGCATTTACATGCCAGGAAATTGATGAATGTCGTCATGTAAACAATATAGATTTTGTATATTTGTTGAAATGTGGAATGTTACATACATAATCACTTGGATGTAGCTTCGTCTAAATGGAACACATAATCCAACTGCAATGACACTGAGCATCTAAATTAGTTTTGAGTTGTTTAATGTACTCTTATCCAAGTTAATTATTAACTGATACTCCATAGAATATAAAGGAATTATCAGATCTTGGGCTGTACTCATGTTGAATAACATAAAACACAATATCTGTTGCAAATTCTGCTGAAGTGTTGTTAATTTAACATGAAACGCTTCTAAATATGTGAGTGACAGTTTCAGGCATGCCATGTTCATGTGCCAAATTTCCCCCCATCTTAAAGGTAACTTCCTTCTTTTACATTGAGGAGGAAGTAAGATATTTTTCCATAATATCTCTGCCTTTGGGGCTAGATCACTTATTTGTAGCAGATTTTCCCCCATCTGTGTTGTAGAGTTAACAAAGCGAGGGTATCGGAGGTTAGGAAATGGATAGCTGGAATGAACTTGGTGGTTGATATGGCATTGATGATTAATCTGAGTATTATTTAAAAATTTCATTTCAGATTTTGGAATGAGGAGGTAAAACATGCCTCAGAACAGAACAAGAAGCCAAGCCTACTGCGTGTCATTACTCGGTGCTTTGGCGCCAAGATCATGGTTTATGGACTTGTTCTTTTTGTAATGGAGTTTTCATTAAGGTAACATTTTCACTACAAAGACATTTATGGTGTTGCAAAATTATGATGGGTATTCTACGTTGTTGGAACCGATTCCTGGGGCCCATACTATTGGCACACCGTCTCGCTGAGAGACTATAAATATGGAAAGCCCCGGTCTTGTTGCAGGATGAAGTCTTTAGCTGTAAAATCGCAGACGTCATCAGACCCGGCTGCCCTCCGTCAGGGGCTGATAAAAGTGCTGGGCTTTTAAGATAGCCTTCACTTGCGTGACACAATCAACGTTGAAATTGTGAAGTTTAAAGGTTAACTTCTAGTACAGAATTCAGCTCAGTTGTCGCAGTGAGCAGTGTCAACAAATGCTCTAGATAAAATTCAGATCCAGATACCAGAAATTAATTGATGAATACAATTCTCAAGCAAGCAGATCTTATTGTATTGAGTAAGAATCAAGATACACTCAGGAGTAAAATATTTGATTTTAGTCTTTCCATTGCAGTGAATTCACAAATGCCGGATAACTGCAGTGCACTATTCTTATTGACACACTTTACAAAACAGAGAATAATTAAACATATATAAGAGTTCTTACATTCAGTTTTCTGCTTCCAGTGCTTATTGGCCCAGTTACTTTAGATTATTTTTCTTGTTTGGGTTACGAATGAGGCATGATTAACCTTTATCAGACATGTGACTCGCAACTGGCTGGTCTGTGTGGATGCTGGACAGCTGGCAAAGTATTACAGTATTATCCCCAAAGATGTCCAGCCTGTAATCCTGTAGTGCAGGGGTTGAAATTTTCTATTCTTATATGATGAAGGTTAACTTCAGACTCTGGTCCAGTTAGGGACCATGAAGTTCACTGTTTTTGGCTTATGGTGTCTGTGGTCAGAACGGATAGGGTGTACAGGCGAATATCTGATGTTACAGGGTGTCTCAACCATTGCTCCTGGGCCGGCTTGTTCGATACTTCAGTGTATCAAAATCAAAATCAGATTTTGACATGACCTTAGAAGAAGCATATTTTTATGCAGCTGGAGTTGTGATTTGCTCTGCTCTCAACGTTTTTGTGATCCATCCGTACATGATGGCGATTATCCACATGGGCATGAAAATGCGTGTCGCCTGCTGCTCTCTCATCTATCGCAAGGTAACTGTATGTTGGTAGTGTTTTCAGTGAACTAAAATTTCCTAAAGTTTCTGTTCCTTTCTCTATTTGAATAATCCTCACGTCACTGTTTCTGCATTACTTCCTGTATATTTTTACATTAACTTAATTAATTATTTGAACCATTCCCTCCTCTCCTCATGTTATGTTACTCCTTACATCGCCAAGGTGAATAGTTACATGGAAGAAAATCGCACACATACCACCGTTGCTGATGAAGTCAGTTTCCTGTGCCTGATATATCAGCCATTTTGGATTGTTATGAGTGTAAGAGTCATTGTAGCTTAGTAAGTGTACTGTGCGAATACTCGCTGGTCAACTGCATTTCGATCTGTGGCGACGACAAAGATTTTTCATCTAGCCTTTGCATCCAGACCGGCTGTGGGGCCCCGCTAGCCTCTTGTTCTATGGGTATCAGGGGTCTTTCCCTGGGGGTAAAGCATGGCCAGGGTGTGACACTGAACACTCGCCCCCCTCATCTAGTGCCGAGGTCCTCTCCCATGAAGCACCTCCATGGCATGTAGCAGGACAGCTATGCAACTAGAACCAACTACAGTACTGGATACGGGAATAATGACTGCGTCATTTCTGTAGATCACTTAGGAGTTATAACACTGTTTTGTGTTCGTAGTTGCTAATGTAAGAAAAATTATGTGGCATATTATGCATCCACGTGTATGACTGGTATTTTGCAGGCACTGCGATTGAGCATGACAGCATTAGGAGAGACAACCGCTGGCCAAGTGGTAAACATGATGTCAAATGACGTGGGCCGATTTGATATGGCGATCATTTTCCTACACTACCTGTGGATTGGTCCCATCGAGACATGTGTGGTGACTTACTTCATGTGGAATGAAGTTGGACTGTCCGCTGGGATAGGTGTTGCCTCTCTGCTTCTCTTCATACCTCTTCAAGGTGATAACTTCAACAATATTCATCATCTTACTCTTCAGACCATTTCACAAAGATACTTCAATTTTGTAACATCAAGTTTTATACTTGTAGTATTTGTAATATCAGGTAGATGTAATATTATAAAGGGGAATGATGATAATAATGGCAACTCCACATTGCTGTTGTGCAGTCCTCGTAATTTGTAACAAATAATACATTAGATGTGGCCCGCATTATATATTTGTGAGAAACTGTTTGCAGGCTACCTTGGAAAGAAAACATCCGAGTATCGCCTGAAAACTGCACTTCGAACAGACGAGCGTGTGCGACTGATGAATGAGATTATCTCAGGGATGGAGGTTATCAAGATGTATGCGTGGGAAATACCATTCGCCAAGCTTGTCAACGCTTCTCGCAAGTAAGAACTGGGATTTAATAGAAATGAGTGGTCACCTTCACATTCTGGCTGCTTTACCCCTTGGTACCAATTGAATAGGAGTCTGGTAATCGTTGGACTTGATAAAAGAGAGAAAGGTTGAGCTTTTGCCAGGAATTTAATCCTGATGACACAGAACTTGATGGGTTATTTCTTTTTTACTTAATTGTTTTATAAAAGTGTGTGTAAAATAACTTTGCTGTGATATGTAGCTTAGAACTCACAGTTTCACAGTCTTCACTTTGTAAGTAGTAATACTTGTAATGTTACAGGAATGAGATTCGGGCGATAAGAGTGTCATCGTATATTAAAGGCATACTTATGTCTTTCATAATGTTCTCTACACGAATTTCAATATTCGTCACTATTCTAGCATATGTGTTGCTTGGAAACCAAATCACAGCTGAAAAGGTAAATGTTTGATAACTTATTTTAACAACGTTGATGAAAAATGTCTGTGATAAAGTGTTGACTATTGCATTAAGCATCACAAGAAAGTAATCGTTTAAATTTATTTTATATGTTGTTATTTTGAATGTCACATTCTGTATTTGTTTAATGGTTCACGTATCATTATCTGATATTTTCTTGCTGTCTGTGATTCTTGTGTGGCTGCATTGTTCATTAATTGTCCTGTAATTTGATGCTGTATAGTCTGAACTACTTTTATTTCTTTAAATTGCAGGTTTTTGTGTTGGTGTCATATTATCAGCTTCTGAGACAAACTATGACTGTGTTTTTCCCTCAAGGAATTTCGCAGGTGGCAGAAGCATTAGTATCAATCAGCAGGTTGCAGGTTTGTGCATTTACAGTGTTTTGAAACAAGTCGTCACTTTGTCTCCATTTCTCTTAAGTTTTGCTGTGGAGTGTGTGGTCAGGATAGTCAGTGTGTCATTTGTTTTTTGTGCTTAGAGGTTCATGTTGTATGAAGAAAGGCACGTGGAGGCAGCAGCATCTGTAGCGCAACACGACAGAGTCAACAATGTCCGCCAGAATGTGGAGACGAAGGAAAGTAAAGCATTAGGAATTAGAATAACCAATGGAACTGCTCAGTGGACAGCACAGACTCATGAGAAGACACTGAACAAAGTGACGTTGGACATCGAGCCTGGAATGCTGGTGGCTGTCGTTGGGCCTGTTGGCTGTGGCAAGGTGAGAACTGTGTGGACTACACAAGATTAGCACAGTATTCAGTGTTTCATGAAGAGTTATGTTTTGTTTACTTGTGAAGTTAACATTTCATTTCTGGCAGCTGTTGAACAAAGTAAGTGCATGTAACTTAAAGCATTCAACTTGATAAACTCTACAGACTTCCTTCTAAACTTCCATTGATGTGCACAGTACACTCTGTATTGTATGTAGACATTTATTGAAGCTTTGGTATAAATTGATAATCTGGGTTGTTAAATTTGGTCCAAAGTTAACTTCAAACAAATTTTTGTAAACGTTATAAACTTCTAGAGACAGTGTAATCTACCCTCAAATACATAGTTTTAACATTCCTAATACAATTATACTCAAACATAACATTCATATATTTCAGTATTTATGTTTTTAATTCTTTTATTTGAATTCTCTTTTACAAATGACATTTACCATGATTCCAGAGTTGATATAACACTTTATCCTGTCAGGAATTGTGTGTTTATGAAACAGTGTTATTATTATTTTGAATATAACAGATTATATTTGCTTGAGAACATTATTTGTCATAAAATAAATGATCAAACTTCTTATTCTTTTAAATGACTTGCTGAGATTACTTCCATGCCTAACTGTGGTACATCACATTCAGAAATGTAACAGGTTACAGTTTTGCACCCCGTAACAATATCTTCTCATCGGATGAAATGCCATGTGCAAATGTGTCGGTAGGTAAAATTTAAATGTAAACAGTTAATAATGGGTTGATTAATGCTACCTCACTTCTGTTAGTTCCGGAGAATTTGACATAAATACGTCTATACGGAAAGGAAGTTTATATATTGGTTTTATTCTAAATATTTCCTTTATTCTTTATTCCTACCAGATATGTAGATTTGTGAATCAAGTTTCTCTTTATATGGACGTTGAAACTATAACCATCGTCCAATTCTCTAGGTAGTAGCGTTACCATATTATTAACATCTACTGGAACATTGATTACTTGTCCCAGTATCCCAAATTCACCCAATTGATGTCTTAACCTCCTAATTTGCATAAATGGAAGTAATGTAATGTAAAGTAATGAAATGTAATGTAATGTAATGTAATGTTATCTTCAATGTCATCCATCTTGTTATGAAAGCGGATTGTTGACGGCAGTAATATAACACAACAATGCCGAGTAAACAGATCATAATTAATATATTATCTATCTATCTATCTATTATAAAAAATTGTGATTCCTCGTTGTCGTCAATAAATTACGTCATCAACAATGCCGAGTATAAACAAACTCGGCATTGTTGTGGAACACGAAATTGCTTCTTGTGATTTATATTTTCTCTTTTAAGTTCAGCATTAGTTTTTGGTATTTCCTTTCACAGATGACGTTTCCTAGGTAACAATAATGCCGAGTAAACAGATGACGTTTCCTAGGTAACAACAATGCCGAGTAAACACGACATTCCCTAGGTAACCATTGTTGTCGATTTGTTGATACGGATCTTACACATTTTCGTTTCACGTTTTCGTTACACTTTTTTGCCGAATGACCCTTCCATATAGACATATTTACGTCAAAAGAAAAAAACAACAACTGATAATGGATCTAGTGCTTCCTTTTCACAGACCTCATTGCTACAGGCAATCCTGAGAGAACTGCCGCTTAGTGAAGGAACTATGGAAGTTGGTGGCACAATATCATATGCATCACAGGAACCATGGATATTTACAGCGTCTGTGCGTAAGAACATTCTGTTCAGCCAGCGATTTGTACAAGAACGCTACAACCGTGTGGTGAAGGTGTGTGCTCTGAAGCATGATTTCAAAAAGATGGATTATTCTGATAAGACCATTGTGGGAGAGCGAGGTCCTGATCTTAGTGGTGGTCAGAGGGCTCGTGTGAATCTTGCCAGGTATGTTGACTCAAGAGTGTACAGCGATGCTTAGTCTGAATGTCCAGTAAAGTCCATTTTCAAGAGCAAAATAGTTTTCTTACTGAAGTCAACATAACTAGCACAGTTCTGCCATCACTCTTAATTATTCAGCAGTCACATCCTTGGTTTTACATGCTTACCAGCTGCATAGTTAATACAGATAATTATATCCTGTGAAGGAGTCAGGATAGAATTAGTTCATGAAAGACTCTCGGGCAACAAGCCTCGTCAGAGAGCCTTTCATCAACTTCAGTCGCCGCGAAAGCTTCACTTTATACATCAGAATTAGTTCAGTTGATATGGATGTAATTCCTCTATTGTTATGTTGGCGTGTTCAGGGCTATATACAAGGATGCTGATGTGTATCTCCTTGACGACCCTCTGTCTGCGGTGGATCCACATGTTGGCAAGCATCTGTTTGATGACTGCATTGCTGGTTTCCTTAAAGGCAAGACAGTGATCTTAGTCACACACCAGCACCAACATCTGAAAGAAGTGGACCATATCATCATCCTTAATAATGTAAGGCATACCGTCATACACAACATTTTTTAAATGCGTACATCAGATAAAAGATTTCCAGTCGCTCTGTACCAGAGAAATTCGGATGAAAGGCTGGGCTGTTGTTTTCGCATCATTCCAAATGAAGTTTATAGCCAGTTAATGTTATTTTGTACATGTTTATGTTCATGTCAAGTTACTTTTTGTGTGTGTGTGTGCAGGGATCAATTACTGCTCAAGGAACTTATACTGATCTGAAGGCCTCAGGAGTTGACTTTGTGAAACTTATGGATAATTTGAAGGCTGAAGAGAAGCAGCCTTTACAAAAACTGCTGAGACAGATGTCTATTTCCGTGAGTATACACTGATTGTTCAGTAAGAAAGATCTTTTGTAATTTTTAACATCAGAAATAAGTGTAACTGTTAGCCACAGTAGCTCAGTTCGCGAGACAGTTTGACAGTGGCTGATGACACTTTCACGTGAACGTCCGTAGGCTCAGAAGCAATATTTTGTGATGGACTTTGTTGTTGGTTTGTGGTGGGAGTGCAAATTGTGCACGCACTGTTAGTTGCCACAGGTGATAACCTCTCTCTCTCTCTCTCTCTCTCTCTCTCTCTCTCTCTCTCTCTCTCTCTCTCTCTCTCTCTCTCTCTCTCTCTCTCTCTCTCTCTCTCTCTCTCTCTCTCTCTCTCTCTCTCTCTCTCTCTCTCTCTCTCTCTCTCTCTCTCTCTTGTGAAAGGGATAGAATTATTGAAATATTTTTCAGCATTGATAGGTGAAGTTTCAGTCACTTATACAAGTTCGTGGCTCAGTATGTGATTCTGATGAAGAAATTGAGTTTCTTCTTACTGTCTTCGTCTTTCTTCACTTTATTGAGCTCCATGTTGTAGCAATAAAGGATGTATTGACCTTTACTCTTCCATAATTGGGTCATCACATGTGAAAATTTCTAGGGCTTCTTAAATTAGTATGATGGCTTGCAACATGTGTGTTACATTAACGCATTTTTGTCAGAGGTGTTTTGAGGGTCAGGGAGGGTTTGTTTCTGTTGTAGCAAAAACTACTTTTACCTAGTGATACAGAAGTGTGAAAAACGTCTTAACGTCTCAAAGGCCGACACTGTATCTAAGTTTTGGTCAACTGTTCTATTGAGTCATGCTATGTGTCCAAGACATTTTGGAAAGATTGTCATCCTAGATCTGCCATTAAAACAGACAGGGTGCCATGTAAGGAAGTCTTCACGGAGGTTAACTGAGTGTTTTTAACTCGAGGAATTATTATATTATTTCTTTTGTGGTTTGTAGAGCGTGAATTCTGTGGATGAAAAGCAGCCAGAACCAAAACAAGTGGCGGAGATGCGATCAGTTGGGTCTGTGTCCTCCAAGGTGTATGGTGCATACTTGCGTTCAGGTGGCAACTGTTGCGTCATCTTGACCGTGGTGGTACTGTTTGTTACGACACAGTTGCTGGCTAGTGGCTGTGATTACTTTATCACCTACTGGTAAGGGTAACAAATACCAAAGTGATTTTGTTTAAAAATTGTCTAGAGGTCCACAAAAAAGGAAGCAAACAATGAACAGGGGCAATAATGAGTTGTCACTTGTTTTACTTATTCTTGATTTATTTAACGACAGTTCCAGTAGCTTAGATTATATAGTTGAAATTTTAGGGTAATCGGTGGACATTGAACTGGAAAGGATATAAAAGGTCGTGGCCTAATTTTAGGCATTATCCTGGCATTGGACTGAGGAACTGAGGAAAACCACAGAATACTCTATGAGTTTAATTAGTCTTTGAGCTAAGATTTGAACACAGGAACCGCTGATTATGAAACAGGAGTTTGAACCACCCAACCGTGATGTTATGTATGTATAAAGTTATAGAGACTGATAACTTAGTAGAAGTGAGTAGACAAGGAGACCTGTTCTCTGTTAGTAGTGACTTTATCATTTTTCTTGGTCCTTTGAATTTGTGTGTTCTTTGCTTAAAGTGAATCAGTAATGTGGACGTCCTTAGATCCCTTTTATGTTCGTGTCATAACAACCACAACACGCTCTCGTTATTAATTAGCCACTTTGTATGTGTAATTTTGTTGCTTGCAGGACAAACATTGAGGAGAAGCACTTTGAGCTACAAAATGCAAGTAAAACTAACAATTCTTTTGAAAGTGGCCGCAACATGAATGAGTCCTTCACAAACAATTCCTTCGCGAAAAACTCTTCTGAAAGTGACATTCTAGAAGACAGCCCAATGTTGGCTATGCTGAGCAGAGACACTTGTATCTATATTTACACTGCTGTGACTGTGGGCACCATTGTGGCATCACTGGCGCGTTCCTACATGTTCTTTAAAGCCTGCATGCGTGCATCATGTCGTCTGCATGACTCCATGTTTCGCAGCATCACACGTGCCACCATGTATTTCTTCAACAAAAATCCTTCTGGTAAGTACCGACAGCCTTCAATCTTGTCATGGCTGTGGTTATAATACTGGAGTTCTGAAGAATGAGTTTAGATACATTGCATTTTTGATTACACGCAGTACCCTGGATGGCAGATATTCGATATAAAATGACCTGGCTATTTCATTTTTTAAACGTTTTGTAAGAAACAATTGTTTGAAGTGAAAAGGCATAATTTGTAACCATTATTAGCTTAATGCAGTTTGAATGAGATTTGTTACAGATGTCATTGTGTTCTTGTCTCTGGTGGTAATTGTAGTTCAGGCAGTGTACAGGAGCATGAAGTTGTTTTGTCGCTGAATAAATCAAAGGAAATGAAGAAGCCACATATAGTTACAAGGGGGAGTTAAGAAGGTGAAAGCACAGGCATTAACAAAGGAATTGGAATCTGGTAGCCCATGATTCAAGAAATCACAACATTCTATATAAAGCATGTCATAGAGCAAAAATGAAGTGGTATTATGGGTTTTAAGGTTTGCTGAGTTTAGTCTACAATGCTGTTCTTATTTTTATTATTTTCCAGGCCGGATATTGAACAGATTCTCAAAGGACATGGGAGCTATTGATGAAGTGCTTCCAGCTGCCATGATAGATAGTTTGCAGGTGAGAAGTAAAATTTCTGTGCCCTCCGTTTCTGTGAATTTCTAAAGGGACAAAGTTTCATCATGAATGAAGATGGTTGTCGTATGGGGATGTAGCATCATGTAGTCAGATTGATATCAGCTGATGTTTCAGATGATCTTACTGCCTCCATTATCAGGGTGATGAAGAAGCTTATTGTTAAGTCCAATTTCTTTACTTCTTAAGGATATGATGTATTAACCAAGAGAGGCTTGTTCTTATATGAATGTCTTTTATCACATTGTATCAATTCACGGTGATTTCAGTCATATTCATTCATATTGAAATGTATTAAAATGTGGCTTGCCAGCCGAACCACGTGTAAGCTACAACACATGAAATGATAAAGGTTGATGTTATTGTTGTCGATGTTTTTCCATGTCATTGTCACAACGCAGTTGGTTCTCGTTTCTCAGATTGGATTAGCGATGCTTGGTATCATCACAGTTGTGGCAGTTGTCAACTACTGGTTGCTTGTTCCCACCTTCTTTGTTGGTGTAGTTTTCTGCCTACTCCGCATTATCTATTTGTCTACATCACGGAGTGTCAAACGGCTTGAGGGACTCAGTAAGTGCACCGAATAAAGCTTATTTACTTGTTAATGACTGGTTTGAACATATTAACATCACGGTCTAAAATATGCAAATAAATAAACAGATATTTGAGGTGATCACCAAGATGGAGGCTGTTAGCTGCTCTGAAATGCCAATAATTACCTACAAGACTGCATGGTGCAAAATCTGGAAGACAGCTGTTTTCAAACTGTTACATAATTGTAGTTTTGTATTACTAGTTACAATGTGGAATGAGGGTTGGGGTTTTTGCTGCTATGAAAATCTAGGGTCTTTTTGTTTTGACATTCTGTAATATTCTAGGTGGTTACCTTAGCTCCAATAGGTGCATCCTTTGGCTGGTTGCTTTCATTTAGTTTTGAATTGTGTCCTGTTTCTTAATTTGTCTAGAATTCTGACACATGTAAAAACACAAACAGAATTAATAGCACGTTATTTATGAAGTTCAGTTGTTCATTGCTAGAGCCATGTAAGTCCACATTTTTAGTTTATTTCATGGATAGTTGTACAGAAACAAAGCAGTAGAAAAACTTATGCAAGAATGAAGGAAGTTGATTGGCAGTAGGCAGTGTTAAGTAGAAAACAATTTGTACATCTTTTATTACTTTACAGCAGAAAACGGGTAAATCTTTGCTTCTTCTGAAAAGAATTACCAAAGTAGACTTACGTGATTCTTGCACTGAAGCTTTAATATCATTACTTTTCTTTTGCTGCGTTGCAGCTCGCAGTCCTGTTTTTCAGCACCTCAGTGAATCTCTTCAGGGGCTCACAACTATTAGAGCAGTTAAGGCAGAAGCCATACTGGAGAAGGAATTTGATAATCATCAGGTAAGTGAAGAACAGTGGGGACCACCTGCAAGAACTCAAGAATTAGTGTCTTGATTTTCTTACCTTTATTTATCTAGAATGCAATGCAGTTATGCAAACCTAATCTTAGTAAAAGAATAACATTTCTTTTATAAATTTCTTCTTCTTCTTCTTATTTCTCATCTTCCTTTTTGCCTTTATAGTGTCGGGGTTGATTGCTCGGTCCACCTTCTCCATTCCTTCTTATCCCTTGCTAAGAATTTCATCTGCGTTAAACTTTTCCCCTTTGCCTGTCCTATTTCTCTAATAGTATTCAAGTAGCTCTTTCTAGGTCTTCCTCTTGTTCTGGTACCCTCAACTCTAGCTTCCGAAAACTGTTTCGTCTTTCTTTCATCTGCCATTCGAACATGTCCAAACCATTTCAGTTGTTTTTCTTCCAATTCTCTAATTCTTCTCTAATTTGGTGTTCCTTATTCTATCCCCACGCATTTTAGTTATTGATTTTCTGAGACATTTCATTTCCACCGCTGTAACTTTAGACGAATATTTATTTAAGTTTGGCCAGCTCTCGCTGCCATATAATAGTGTTGGTTCTATAACTAATTGGTACAATTTTTTCTTGGTTTTTATATTCAATTCTTTCTTTCCAAATATTGTATTGTTTAATTTTCATGCGATGCCATATTGTATTTTCTCTACAATTTAATGATATTGTAAATTGAGTTACGAACTGAGTTGATATTTACCCTTGAAGCAGAAGTGCTTAACACACAGCTGCAAAATTTCTGGAATCGTCTTCCTTATTGCTGCTTTATTTTCATGTTATCTTGCATCTTGATTGGAATATAGTGAAAAATTTTACATGCTTAGGCATTTTTCTGGTCAGGGGTGTAACAAGTTTTTTTCGGGGGCTGTTGTTTCTGCTCCCATGCTCTTGGGTCAGTGAAACATAAGAATGCATACATGTAAACAGTTGAATTTAGTGACTTATAGCATATTGTCTTTGGACCAGTCTTGCTTCAAGTGCTGATGGCAGGTTATCATTACTTTCCAGCTTTCTGCAGTATTTTCCTGTTACCTCTGACTTCTTAATTATGCCTGCTTTATTAAATACTAATCTCCTTTACAGAAGAAGGAAAAAAAAAAACATCCTTTGCAGAAGAAGGCAAAAAAAAAAAAAACACATTTTCAAGCTTCAAAACAATTTTAACCTTGCAAAAACTAGTTTCATTATTTGTTTTCCATTCTTTTTCTTTGATAGGAAACAATAGAATGTAATGGAATTAAACCTTTGCTATTTTAAGATAGTTTAAACTGTGTACTGTGATTACATTTGCTGTAAATATTTCAGGATTTGCACTCTGGGGCCTGGTACCTTTTCATTGCATCCAGTCGAACATTTGGTTTCTGGTTGGATCTCGTGTGTCTGATTTACATAACAGTTGTCACCATCAGCTTTTTTGTTATTGGAGGAGGTGAGTCATTTGATTATCTTTTGCATGCTTCTGAACAAGAAACTTCGTATCAGTGAGGAAGTAATGTGTGACCGTGCCATAATTTATTTGCGATAGATTTGTCTCAGTATTGTTTCAAACACCAGTGGTCTCTCTCTGCATCCATGGGAGTGACAGACTTTATGTTGTCATGTTAATGGTAAAGAACAGGCAAAATAAATTATTTTTAGAAAGTCTTTAAAAAGAAGAATAGACGAGAAAGGGATTGAGTTGAACGGTTGCATGGATTTCCTGAAATTAATTCAATTTTTATGTCATGAGTATAATTCTTGTACGATAGTTTGCCACATTTAAAATGATTCACCGGCAATTCATGCGTTTTTTATATTTGACCTACGTTATAGAACTACAATTGAAAATGCATTGTTTCAACAACAGATAGTACTGGAGGCAATGTGGGTTTGGCCATAACGCAGGCCATCGGGCTCACAGGGATGCTGCAGTGGGGTATGCGTCAGTCAACAGAATTAGAGAACCAGATGACGTCAGTAGAGAGGGTTCTTGAGTTTACTGATGTTGAGCAGGAGCCTCCATTGACCTCCCCTCCAGGTAAGATCCTATGATACTCAGACTCACAGCTAGTACTTTACTCTCTGTAAATAATGATCGCCTTCCAGTTTAAATGCTTAATTTTTCTCATTCTTTCATTCAGACAAGCAGCCACCAGAATCATGGCCATCAGAAGGAGCAATTACATTTGAAAGGTTATATCTGAAGTACCCAAATACAGAAAGCCTTGTCCTGAAGGGTCTCAGTTTTGCAATAGAGGCAAAAGAAAAGGTTTGTACATTCTAGCAGTGATCTAGGTCTCATGCCAACCAAATAAACTGAATCCAGAGTGCTTTGTTATGCTTTGCAGTTTGTTGTTGTATTTCCATATGTAGTTTCTGCCCTTATATAATTTTTGCTGTCCTGTTTTTAATTGCATTGTTTGGATATTTATTTTTAGTGATTTTTAAGTAAAAATTGCCTCAAGTTATGGTATGGTTGTTGGCCTTTGCAATGATGGTGGTGATGAACCCTTGGATTTAAAACTTGGACATGTTGTTATTACCTCAAAAGCTATTTAAAATAATTCATTATCAGGAATTTTTCCATCATCTGTTCTTTAAAATCAAGACGTTTCCAGTGACAAAGACTAGCTCTATCTAAGGGACCCAACAGCGTAGGTACCTCTCACCTGAAGACGGAGACAGAACCAGCCTCCGAAACGTCATGATTTTAAAGAACAGATGATGAAAAAAGTCCTGATAATGTATTATTTTAAGTGTAAACTACCGTTGTTAAAACCCTTTAGAATTGAAAAGCTATTATCTACTCCTATCAGCAGTATAGGTTGAAAGTTACAAAGAATTAACAGATGTTAATGGGCAGTTTTTACTCACCATTAAATACATGTGACATTACTGTGGTGTGTTTCAGGTGGGCATTGTGGGACGAACAGGTGCAGGCAAATCAACACTGATTACAGCTCTTTATCGGTTGACACCCATTGAAGGTTCAATTTACATCGATGGCATTAATACTACGGCCATTGGCTTGCATGAACTACGAAAAAAGCTATCCATCATTCCACAGGTGCCTGTTCTGTTTTCAGGAACTTTGCGTAAGAACCTTGATCCCTTTGATGAATATTCGGATGCTATTCTTTGGAGAGCTTTGGAAGAGGTTTGTATTTCTAACAAAACCCGTTGTGGTAAAGTCTTTAAACGTGTGATCATCTCCATTATATGAATTCCATGTCCTGAAGAAAAGCAACCCATCATGGCTTATGGGCAGGCTGGTTGCCCTGTACTGTGTGGGTGTAGATTGGCTGTTCCTGTGTGATGAATGTTAACATGTTTTTAAACATGTAAAATTGAACAATTATATTTATTTCTCAACAGGTAGAACTGAAGAATGTTATAAATGATTTATCTGCGGGATTGAATTCAAGGGTCATGGAAGGAGGTAGTAATTTCAGTATTGGACAACGCCAGTTAGTATGCCTTGCGCGTGCCATTGTACGCAATAACACCATCTTGGTTCTTGATGAAGCAACTGCCAGCGTGGATCCTCAGTAACTATCATCCTCTATCATTCCATTTGAGTAGAACTGTGCCAAATGCTTTTGTTGCGATGTGAAACGGTCGTCATGATGAAGATTTCTATCTTCTTGGTTGTTATTGTCATCATGACGGAGGTAGAATGACCTCTGAAACGTTGGTTAACATCGACCAGACTACACAGCACAACCCAGAAGACAGAAATCTTCATACTCATCTCTGTGAAAACCTCAAACCTTACGGTCATCATAATATTTAGACCCTTTTAATGTCAAATTTACGTTGTAATCATTCAATGATAAAAAATGGGGATCCAGAGGGAATGTTTAGAAGCACTTATAAAGAAATACTCTCTCATGAAAATCTTTGTTAACATAACTTGCTTTGTCTACATAGGACACAATGGTTATTCCCCAAACTTGAGTTAGACACATCCACAGAATTTACCTACACTGTCAGTTCCTGTTGAAAATAGCCACTGATTAGTGTTCTTATTTGCAGGACTGATGCTCTGATACAGCTGACAATTCGGAAGAAGTTTCTCAACTGCACGGTGCTGACAATAGCTCACCGGCTTGAAACTGTGATGGACAGTGATAGAATCCTTGTCATAGACGATGGGACCATTGCGGTGGGTTTTTGGTTCAATACATTGATGCATATTTAATTTCAGAATTTAAATTACATGGTGAGATTTCTGATTCTCACAGTGGCCATCATGAAGATGACTACGTTCTGTGATGTTGCACCACGTTATCTGGTAGAATTTTACCAATTTCACCCCCTCCCCTCTACACACACACTGTCCAGGCAGTGGTCTTTCCCTTTTCCCATTGACTCCCTTGCCTTCCTCTGATGCTCACCCTGTTCCCTGTTGGATTGGCAAAGGTTTTACCTTGCCCAACCCATTTTCATATTTTAAACCAATTCCTTGTGTGCAGCATTCTCATTGTTCTAATGATGGAGGTAGCAGGCACCTCTGAAAAGCCAGTAAAATTCTATAAGATTACATGGTGTAACATGTCAGAAGACAGTCAATGTTCATGTTAGCTACTGTGAAAACCTGAAATCCCATTCTGTACTGAAGTTAAGTTAGGTTTCACGTTCTTGTAGTGAAGATTATGAACATGGCTGTGTTCTGGAAAGTTGCATCGTGTAGTCATCCTACATCGAAGTAATTACTTGCTTTTCTCTTTGTGGCTTGTGGTTTTGCAGTTTTTATAAACTGATTCTCAGACGAGCAAATAAACTTATTTTACAATATTGCAATGTCACATTTTGTGTTACCTTCTTCGGAACTTTACAAACATATTTTGTACCTGGTTATTTCATACATATCCCTGTTTTCAGTTTGACTTTATTTCTGGAATTATCCTTTCAAAAATATTATTGTGGATTAGACTGTTCTTTTCTATTCTGAACTGCATGTAGTCACATTCTATCAGTAATAATGTTTAGAGTAAATTTTATAGTGTACTTACGTTTCTATTTTTTTACACATTTCAGGAATTTGGCCATCCACATATTTTGCTTCAGAACAAGAATGGTGTTCTGTTCAGTATGGTTCAACAGACAGACAAAGGAAACATAAATTCACTTACTGAACAAGCAAAGAGGGTAAGAATTGCTTGACTGGGGTTAAGTTACTCAGAGAAATTTTATCATTCTTCAACATTTGCATACTGGTAGAGAAATTGTTGTTCAGAATGTTCAAATTTCAATATTCATTGGATTTATCAGATTTTAACTCTTTAATGATTTCCAACAGGAAACGGTTTATAGTCATTTGTGTTATGTTGAGTATTATATTGTGTAAACAGATTCAACATATTGACTAATTTTTGGAATCTTCGGTCAGACTTAACAATGCCAATGTAAGTGCAAAGAATCATAATCAAATTTGAAAATTGTAGGAACTGATTAATTTACATCTGCCAGTTGGGAACACAATTCAAGAGAATTACTGTTTCTAATAAATCGTTTATGAAAATTAAATGTTGCAGGCAAGTGTGATGGATTAGATCTTGCTTGTCAGTTTTATACGTAATTAATGTTTCTGTTGCAGGAGTAAAATGTCTAGAAATTTGGAAAGGTTTCAGTTGTTTTTTAAGTCTGATAGAAAGTACTTGAAATTTTTTTTCTTTCAGAGTTACGATGGTATTGAAGCCAGGCGCTCTTGAAGATGTATCATCAAATAGATATTTGAAGAAGAGATTTGGATGCTGAACATGACAGAAGAATGCCAAACATTTTTGATATAATTGAAGAATTATACCATATATTTTACATTCCAGGCTTCTTTGTCACAAATGATATTTCTTTCAGATTAAGTCTCCAATTAGTACATTTTATTTATGTCTCCTAGTCATTTATGTTATTTCATTGTTTTATCTAAATGAGAACTTTTAGGTAGAATAACTTGAAGGTTCTCTTACTGTGAAGAATGTGCTAGAAGTATTACAGTAAAGTGGAACAAAAATGGGCTAGCTGCTTTACAAAACAGATTTCATGATGTGACTTGTTAAAAAGGGAGAAATATTGCATCAGTCATCATATGATCTCAGGATGAACAGTATTTTGTTACCAAACAAGAAGAAAGGAAGCCACTGTAGTTGATACATGGTTGTAATGGCAGTTTTATATTATGAGTACTTGATTTCAGCATTGCAACTACTTATTGCCTTAGTGCAGAACTGTGATGATAATTTGATACTATTTGTTACATAAAAATAATGCAAGTAATTTTGTAATCGAACATATTTTTTTCATAATTGTGAAACAGTATGTCTGTATTATTCATCCCTGTACTGATCCTGTATAGAGGGTACACATTTCCTTTCCATTCCTGTTGAATAGAAATATGTTTTTTCACTGTGGTAGTAATGTTCATTTAAATTAATTTGGAACAAAGGTCCAACATCTCAGCATCTGTCTACATCATCAGAGGATACGATAGGTAACCACTGCTGGTTGCTTATTTTCTTAATTGATACACCCCCCCCCCCTTCAAGGACATCCATTAACAAGTTAGAGATACCAGGTGGAATAAAGTGGAAACCCATGTGAAAACAATTTGTCCAGTCCCTGTACCTGGAACGTTGGCTCAGAATGTAACCTCACATGTTATGTGAATATGTTCCATCATCTGAAGCATGGTGTCCCCTCCAACTCTTGTCCCATCTGTGAGTTGCATAACTGTGGACCCCTGCACAATCGTAAGTGTTGTATAACAATTTCTCCTGATGTAACTTTCTGGAGCACATTGGTGAGATGGTATTATGCTTGGCTTAACATGAACTCACAGTTGACGGAATGTAGTCTGATCTCAGGGGCCACTTTCACTAGACGGTCTGTACACCCAGACAATAGATTGACTGGATGACATGCTTTAGAACAAGTTACTGTCTTTGGATGGTATTTTGAATATGTATTAAATATAATACAGCCGGATCTTTTTTAATGTATTTATACATATCAGTTTACATTCTAAACACAATCTCCACAAGTCCATGAAAACAAAAGAATTAATAGAAGAACATGACAGTGCTACTTTCAGATGTGTTTGTTCTTGGGTTGTTAAGCCATTGGTGGACTCATCTCTTAATATCTTGACTAAGATGCGCTGGGAATGCTGGTGTAGAATTTTTTATTTTTGTGCTCGGAGAAAAGAACTACAGGGGACTCGAGGTAGTTGCACAGTGAGTAGCTTTGTCATATGTACTCTTCACCAATTATGATTCAGGAGACTTGTCAGTGAGGATTAGATGGGAAGGACATGTAGCATGCATGGGGGAATGAGTAATGTGTACAAAATTTTATTCACAAGACCACAAGTGAAGGGACCGCATGCAAGATCTAGGCACAGATGAGAGGATAAAATTACAAAATATATTAAAGAAACAAGATGTATGGACAAGGACTGAATTCAGCTGGCTCAAGGTAAGGTCCATTTGTGGGCTTGGCAGGGTGTTTATTGGCCAGTAGAGTAACTATCAGCTTCTAGAGAAGGACTCTGTTCCATGGGGTTTAGAATGCCTTTGTAGATGTTTCTCACTCTCTTTGTCTCATGTAGTGGAATTTAGGCCTCATAAATGTGGTACTACTGTTGGTCTTATTACAGCTTGCAGTAGCAGTGGAATGATACATGCTTGTTCTCTGTGGCACAATTCAGGTATCAGTAGATAATGGAACTGTTGTACAGAAGCATTTTATCTTCACTCTGCTTATTATTCGGGAAGTTTCCAGCCTGAATCTCATCTTTATTGACAGCTTTTCTCAGAGTGTTTATGCAAATGTCACATTTAAAGAATTGCGGTGGTTAGCACATGCCTTTTATTTATTTATTTTCTAGTATAAATGTCATCCCCAAGGCAGGCTATTCTGTGGTTTTATTCGTTTTTCTCAGTCCTTCTAGTATATGCTGGGATAGTCTCTGAAGACAGTTCATTATTCCTTACTGTTCACATATCTCTCAATTCAGCCTTAATAATTATTTGGCCATTTGATGCTGTGTGTCCTAGTCAGCTAATAAAATGTTAAACGAGCCAAAAGTCCATCCTTCATGTAAATTCAGCTATGATAAGTTCCTGCCACATTTTTCCAAGTCAGTACTTGAAACCATGTTTCAGAATACAGTTGGTGTGTCTGTCCTGCACAGGAAACTGCCTTCTGGTGTTCAGATGTAGGGGAACTCGCGATGTTGCTTGAATCTCAATGAAGTCGCATACTGCTGTTGCAGGTATTGGTGTCGGCTGTTGACAGGCTGTTTTGTGATGTTGGCCATTGCACAGCCCATTGCAAACTCAAGGGCCCGGCACAGTGTCTGGAAGCAGAACCATGGCCATGGC